TCACTGCTCCAAACCATTAAGTATTTTGACAAAATACAACATCACAGAAAGAAAGATGTAGCCATTCAGTTTGACTATGATGGAGTTTTAATGAAGCAAAATGTCCCTCATATTTCTCTCTATTTAAAAGAAAAGACCACTGCCTGTCTTAGCTCAGCAAATCCTTTCTTAATTGTAACAGTCATAAAGCCTCCGTTTGCACCTTTAATCTCTGCAGTCAAGCTAGGGAGGCTTCTTTGATATTGTACTTTGGCAGTTCTGTAGAAGTAATGATGTTAGTAATAGAAAATGTTCAGCTGAATGCTGAAAATATACACTCAAAAAGCATGCATCAGCTAAGGGAATACAGTAGTTACATAGGAGGATCAGATCTCCTTCATTTGAGGTTTAAAATTTTCCAGAGCAACAACAAGGCCATGCTGGGGAGAATTCCCTCATAGAGATCAGTGGTTCCTGAGCTTTCATTTATGAATTAAAAGAATCCGGTTTCCACCATGGTAGAAACAAAAAGCTCCCTTGTTTGTGCAAAGGGGGGTTGGGGTTACATGTTTATAGAAATTCTTTTGCAATACCTGCAGTAGATTTTAAGGATACAAAAATTGCAGTCAGATTGTTCAGAGCAAGCATGAAAATCAAAAATAATAACTCCATTTGTAACTGAAAATTGGAATATCACTATTGAGTATAAATTTTGCAACTATAATATCTGTAGAACACAAAGATAATAAAGGAAAAACTTACCCTGATATTCTTGGGAAAATATTTTATTCCTATGACTACAATACAAACAAAAAATAACAATACCCTACCTTATGAAAAAAAGTTGCATCTTTCCCAGGCTATCTCTGGGTCCCACTGGTGGTGGCATACATGTACTTGAGATCAACTCATCTAGAGCAGTGGTTCTTGGGTTACTCAAGTGTTTTTGGACTGCAACTCCCAGAAGCCTTCAGCACCAGCTGTGCTGGCTGGGGTTTCTGGGAGTTGCAGTTCAAAAACACCTGAGTAACCCAAGATTAAGAACCACTAATCTAGACGACAGTCCCTTATATACAACTGAAATATAGTCTATAGCAGTGGTCCCCAACCTTGGGCCTCCAGATGTTCTTGGATTTCAACTCCCAGCAATCCTGGCCAGCAGAGGTGGTGGTGAAGGCTTCAGGGAGTTGTAGTCCAAGAACATATGGAGGCCCAAGGTTGGGGACCACTGGTCAATGGGGCAACAATATTTATATCTCTTTGAAGGCATGAACTTTTTGGTGGAATCAGACTCACGACCATCAGTTCAGAGTTTCCTAGCCTGCTCTGTAGTTTGTGACGTGTCAGTGTGCCAATGACTCAAGGACACTCCAGGGTCCTGTGTGAAATGACAGAAGGCACAATGAAAGCTTATTCAGTGCTATTATAGTGTGAAGCCCCAAAACAATTTGTGACCCCTTGCATTTCTCATTTGCTTAGGGCAAAGGAAATGAGATTTGGTTGTTAATGGTTCCAAAATACAAGTCCATCTTCTCTAACTAGCTGCCCTCCAACTGTATTGGAGAATTGTCATCATCTTCAGATAACATGACTAATAGTTCTGGTATGTATACAATAATACAGAACATGTGGAGCAAAAAATTAAAGGTTGTCTTGAAGAAGAATGAATGTATATAGCTGCTTTCCAGTGATGATGCTTTGGGACCCAGAGCAGCATCAGACTAGTGTTCATTTATGGACGGCTTCTTCTTAAAAGTAGTTTTCCAAGCTCTAATCTAGAGGGCTTCTAGTTGAAGATGCCTGGTGGAACGGGTCCAGTCTCCTTCTTACACAGCCTGTAATACCTGACAGAAGTCCATGTTTGTACAGGTCCTGCCTATAATACTCCACTCCCAGACAGTGCTCTAATATACACAAGGTCCACCAAATCAATGCAGCAGGAAAGCTTTATTAGCAAGGATTATAACATGATCCCCTTAACACCCTCTGTTCCCTCTTGACTTTATCTGCAATCCTCCCAGTAGTGGGAGATAAGAGAGAGTAAATTTTACGAGCAACAGTACATTTTTCTCAACTTTCCCTGTTTTAAGGCAGAAGTGGTTTGTTCTTAGATAGCAACAGTATAGCTCAGTTGTTTGGAACATTTGGCTACAGAGCCTGGGGCAGAGAGTTCCAGTCCCCACTGTGTCTCCCAGGTGAAGGGCCAGTCAAGATCACCCAGTGTGTGCGTGGCTAAAGGTTTATGTGCCCTGCCTTGGGCAAGCTGCACAATCCCAGAGCAGCACCAGAAGGAGGGAGGGACTGGCAAGCCACCTCTGAGAAGATCACTGTAAATTGCCAATCACTTGATGCAGATAATTGCTCTTCAATTGACAATGTTGTCTATTTGCTTTGCAAAAACCTGTTTCCAGTAGTGATGAAAAGTGCTAAATGAATTTATTGATATGGATCAATAAAGCTGCCTGGGCTTTTAGACACTCCTTGCTAGGTTGCTTGTCATGAAGAGCAGCTACAACTCAAAATTTGCCACTGTAATCCTGCACTGAGCTTCCTGCCTACCTGCTCTGTAGCTACCTGATGCTAAATGCCTAGGCTTTTTCTCTTGCTATCTGTTTTCCACTGCTCTGTCTTGGGCTCTGCTTGGCACCTGGCTGGAACACAACAGCAGAGGATTGCTTCCTCTTTGCCAAGAGGACGACTTCCATCAAATCATTCCCTTCATTGGTCCAAATGGCTGCAAACCCACCATTTCACTCAAGGGTACATGACATCAGCCGCTCCAGGGACCGGTTTATGCCCCAAGACACTCCGAGGAGGCACAAGAATGGCCAAAACTGCCAATAAATTGGGCGAGGAATGAAAGTAGAAGTGGCTCAAAGTCGACTTCCAGCTTTAAAAACCAAGTATTTTAGTGGTAAATAGTGTAGTGTGTGCTTGCAACCTATTTAGAAGGTGAAAAGCTGTTCCTGGAGGCTTCTGGGAGAGGCAATTTTCTTGTGGTTGCTTGAAAAAGAAGATTTGGGGAGACTAAGAAGACTGAGGGTTCAAAAAAAAAAGTACTGAGGAAAGGTTGCATGGGGTCTCAGGGCCGTACTTTGCCCAGTCCTGCATTAAGGAGCCATATGAATAAGGCATTATTCAATTTTGTTGCCTGTCAAATCCATGGTTCATAGCAAAGCCAACTGGAAAAAGAAGGGGAAAAGAGAAAGAAAGGGAATGCAGAAAGATAGAATCAAAGAGAAAACATACACACAAAGCTGAAATAAGAGAGAGACCTTGTTTTTGTTATGTGCCATCACCTTGCTTCTGTCTTAATAGCAGCCATAAGAATTAATGACCTCCAAATGGTCTTAACTTTAAGAGCTCAGCTCCGGTGGCACCTTAAAGAATAACAGATTTTATGCCTTTATAGACCACTAAAACAATCATGATACAATACATGCTTGGAGGTCATGACCCCCAAGCATGAATTGTATGATGATGATTTTTTAGTGGTCTATAAAGGTATCACCTATTTTTGTATTTGGATTTTGTTTGGACCACATAGCTACCCTCTGTTTCAATAGATTTTATGATGGCATAGGTTTTGTAGAAAAAAGCTCATTTTTTTTTCAAAGGCATGAAGTGTTATCCTGAATTATACACATGCAGGCAGGGTTATTACTAATGAGATTTGAGGAAACTGAAACACAGGCAATAGCCTGTTTTCTCGATTATGTCCTTAACTGCTGCTATTCACAAAATCATTGCTGGACAGTAACCCAGACATCCTTGCATCTGTGAATGGATTAACACATGTAGTGTGATTTTAGGAAAAGACCTTTGTCCTTGTCAAGGCCAAGGAAGATTGACTTGAACCTCTTAACAAAGGTGTTTTGTGTTGCAATCTCTCTTTGAAGTTCCTTTTTCAGGAAAAGCAACCTTAAAAACTATCACAGGTATTTAAAATCCCCTTAAAATCATGGAGAATTTGTGGCTGGGATCAAATAGCTTTCAAAGGGTAAACTGTACTTGTGTCCTAGTGGCACTGATTCTCCACAGTTCTCTTTTCTCTTTCTTAAGTTTGGAGAGTTTAATAACCAGGTCATCATTAAAGAGGGATGGTGGTTACTGAAAAGCAACAGGGACAAAAAAGATCTCTTAAAGATCACAGCTGAAATGTTCTTAAAAAGAAAGAAATGCCTAAACCCAAGGATGGTGACTCACAGTAGAAAGGACTGAAGGAAAGCAAAGTGATGGATAAGTCAAGGAATATATATATGTGGGCGTAAAGGACAGTCATCCAAACTGATCTAATACTGTATTATGATTTTGCAAGCCGAAATGTGAAACAATCTATTTCCCCCACTGTTACAAATTTGGAAAAGCTCAAATTATTAGTGCTGCTTTCCTTCCTTTTTTTATCGCAGAAAAAAAACCACTTACAGTACAGTCCTGTTCCTATTTACCTGGGTGTAAAATCATATTGAGCCCAACGGAGCATACTTCTGAGTAAACAAGCAGTGTGTGTCTCCCTCACTCACACACAAACACACACACAACCCAACAATCAGCAATCCTGTAATTTCCTACCAATCAAACATGTCTGCACAACTATTGATTGAAGCTAACAACAACAATATTACAGAAAGCATGCTTTGAAAGAACCATCAGCGAGATAACAATGGAGGTGGCAGGCAGTGAAATCCGAAAGCCAATGTGGGGTCATACCCATAAGGAAGGGACCAATTAAAATGTCTCAAAGCTCCTGAACATCTGCAGATCATCAGCATTCGGCTAGCCCGACCTGGTCACCCCCAATCCAGATGTTCCGTACCTCCCACCCTTCTCCATGCTGTCCTTGAGCCACCCAACCTATCCTATTCTTGGTCCAGCACAAAACAGACAACTAGTAAAAGAAAGGTGCTCTTTCTACAGAGGCGCGTTGGGTGGCATCGAACCGGAATAAGGAGCATCTTCGGAACCGGCATTTCCAGGGTTTCGGAAGGAGAGCACAAGGAAATCCATCCAGCGTGTCTTACCTGTTGGCCACCGGAGGAGCCACCTGGACAGCTGCGGAGGGCGACCGGAGGGACCTCATCACTCGGGGGCTGCTGCTGACCGTCGCGGTTTGGACCTCTTCCTCCTCCCAGCTCCTGGCGAGCAAGCAAACAAGCAAGGCAAGCCGAAGTTGTCCACGCGTGTCCGTGGCGGGGGCGCCTCCGGGAAGCATCTCCGGAGCAGCCCGGGGCAAAAGCCTCAATTGACGAGAGTATCCCTCTTCCAGCGCAACCTCCTGGCAGCTGGAACTGGTGGTGGTGGTGGTGATGGGGTGTCCATGGAGGTCCTTCGCCCGCCCGCCTCCCATCCACCCTCTAAGCGTGGAGTTTATTGCTGATTTCACGCCCCCGGGAAGCCTCGGCGCCCAAACTCTGCTCCTCCACCCCAGGGGACCCTTCTCCCCTCGCCGCTCAGGGCTGCCCGCTCGCCCGCCCTTCTCTCTCCCCTCCCGGACGTACCTTCCCCTCCCGGAGCCATCGGCCGAAAGCCACGCGAGGCAGAGGAAGAGCAGCAGGCTGCTGACCAGAGCCGCCAGGCTGAGGACCGCCCGCATGGCGCGCCGCACTCCGCCTCGCCTGCCCGCCCGCAGCTGGCCGGCGACGCGAGCCGAGAGCTCGGGAAGACCGAGGAGAAGCAGCAGCCCCGGCGGCGACAAAAGCAGCTCCCTGACTCCCGTCGGAGCCACTGCGGCGCTACCGAAGAGGCGACCCCGTCAGGACGCGCGGCGGAGGTGGCGGGCAGCCGAGGGGCTGCGATGGCCAGCCCAGGGTTGGCCCCCCTCCCCGCCCGCTGCCGCTTCAAAAGGAGGGAGGAGAGAGTTGCACATCTGCCTTCTTGCCTTTGCCAACCAACTTTAAAAAGAACCCGCCCTCCCCCCAGCAAGATTGACACCCGATTCTCAGCCTTCGCCCGAGGCGGCCAAGATGGGGCGAGGGGAGCGCGCAGCGCCTGAGGCGCATCTTCCTTTGCCCAGAGCCAACCTCCCACCCCACCCCCACCCCCGCCGGGCAGCCATCCCAGCCCCTCTCCCTGAGAGCGAGAGCGAGGGAGGGAGGCTCCCAGCTCGGGGATTCGAACCGGAGGGAAGAAGGGATAGAGGCAAAGGAGAAGGCGGGGAAGCTTCTTCTTCATGAGGAGATCCGTGGCTTGAGAAGATAGATGCTGGCGCCGGCGCCTCTTCTCCGCCCTCTGGGAAGAGCTGCCAACCAATCCTGAAAAGCAGAAAGAGCAGGGGAAAGAAAAGGGGGAAGAGAGCGTGCCTCTGAGCATGTGCAGAGCCAGGCATTTCAGGGAAATTTATTTATTTATTTATTTGATTTATACCCCACCCATCTGGTCTATACGACCACTCTAGGCGGCTTACAACATAATGGCTTGCCCATCTTTCTCCTGTAGTTCTAAAAATAGTGTTTGGGGAGGTTTAGGGTTTAGGGTTTGGATTGGGACCCCTGCACTGGAAGAGGGTTTATCATCCAATGTGGCGTTTCCTTCCAGTGACTGCACTGGAAAGCTGAACCACAGCCGTTCGGTTTTGGTGCGATTTGAGTCGCAGCCTGTATTACTTTTGAAATCGCTGTCAGTGTTCACACAGGTACTGCGGATTGATGTGGGAGTCCATCAGTCATACAGGATGCAACTTGAATTTGAACCCACAGCCCCCTTTCTTTCCTTCCTTCCTCTGTTCCTGCTTCTGCTGATTCTTTTAAATACAGGTAATAATAATAACAATGACCCAGTGATAAGGTGATCTAGTGCCAAACTCATATAGGTAAGAAATATTAGCAACAGAAAACATTTCAGAGGACAATTGGGAGAGAGGAAAGAAAGTAGGGGTGCCATTCCCTGACCCTAAACATTATGCTCCCAACTGCTTACATCACCCAAACACCACCCACAGATGTGCCCCCCTTACGAGAACAGATCACAATTAACCGTGTGGGGAAAAGCCCATCTAAATCATTCCAGCTTGAAAAAGTCAAAGGCCTTTAGCAGCAGAGAAAAAAACACTTTGGGAGCAAAAAGGGCGCTGGGCAGCCATTGCATCATGTGGTCAACAACAACAAAAAATACTTTGAATGCACCCATTTAATAAGCAAAGCAAACCCTGCAGTATTTGACCCGGTCCTACCTCATCTTCTTCACCTGCAAGTGGCTTTTAGCCACAGCAAGGGAAGAGGAGAATCATGTATTTATCTCTACTGCTCCTTAGCTAATAGCAGCTAGAGATGAGATGGGTTTAAATTTCGGAATCAGAGAGGGTTCAAAACCTTTCTCCAGACACACAATAAAAAATAGAATACAGATGGGTAAGAGTAACTTTTTTAAAAGATTTGAAAGATAATATGAAGCTGAAATGTAAAACTGTCACTGAAGATGTACATTGTACAGTGCTACATATTTCAGTTTCACTGTCCAGAAAAAAAGACAGAAGAATTTGAAAATCTGGATTGAAGACAGATTGGTAAGAATTTATTGGATGCAGAAGGTGACCAATGAAGATGTCTCAAAGTGAATGAACAAAAGCCAACAAATCAGAAAACATAAAATACCATAATAATATTTCATTCATATACAGAGGAAGAACATAACGTATTGTTACAGCTGATCATTCAAGTTTAAATAAACAAGAGAAGTGCAGGATGGGGGAAAAATGTCTTGGCTGGAAAATCTTAAAGATTAGCTTGGATGCAACACAACATCCTTGTTGGAAAGCTACCACATGCAAAGTTAAAATGGCCTTGATGTCTTCTAGTCTCTGGTAGGAGAGGAAGGAAGCAGAAGAGGCAGTGGCAGCACAATAATGTCCATGTCTGCAGAAGTCTCATCAGCCCAAGCACAGGAAAGTGATAAAGAGCCGCAAATCGTGATAGCTATATGCTGCACCAATATCCTCTGTCAGCTGCGGGAACTTGAGGTAGGTAGTGGGGATTCCCATAAGGCAATCAGTTGGCTGCTGTGGTCAACAATATATATTTTATTTTATTTATTTATTCAATCTATATACCACCCATCTACCTACCTGGGCATGAAATCAAAATACTGAAAATTAAATAAACATATAATCAATTAACTCTACCTGGGCCACTCTGGGTGGTTCACAACAAAAGGAAAAGCATGAAATCAAACTACTCAAAATTAAATAAACATATAATCAATTAACTAAAAACAACAGCAACATAAAACTATTAATAAAAGCAAGAAAGCAAAATTGGTGACTTAAGTGCTGAGTTGACCTCTGTGCTGTGTAGATGTAAAGTCTGGGAAGGCCAGTCGATATTGCCGATTTCAAGATATCTCTTGAGAATCCCCAGTGTGGGGGCCAGGTGAATTTCAGGTGGGAGGTTATTCCAGAAATGCAGTGCAACCACAGAGAACATCTGGCTCCTAGTCTTCTCCTTCTGGGCTTTTTAGGAATCAAGGACCTCAACCATCCAGCCTAAGATGGCTGATTGGGGTGGGCAGATCTCACTGGAAGAGGCTTTCTGCTAGCTATTGAGGTCCCAGACCTGGGACTCCATTGATAGTGTTAGGTCCAAAAGAATGTCCAAGCTAAAAACCTCATCCTTGGCAGAGAGTGACCCCTCTCTAGGAAAAAGGAGGCCCCCAACCATCAGACACTAGGGACCCCCATTTTGTCCTGGTTTAGTAACAGTACATTGTTGAGATCTCAACTCAGTGGTAGAAGTTCAATCAGCTGACATCTCCAGGTAGGATGAATATTGGCTAGCCAGTGCCCGCAATGTTAGCCTAGAGAGGAACTAACTGTGTGTTCCAAGTATAAGGCAGCTTTCTCTGTACCAATGACTAGGCAGGCTTTTGGTCTGATCCAAGGTATCTTCTGCCTCTTTTGGTTTGGCTTTGGGGTAAAAAACCAGAACATAGGAGGTGGGTTTTTGGAGCAAAAAGGGCTGGACCTTTTCTGTTTGGCTTTTGCTGCTTCCTGCCCCCACTCACATACCACTCAGACTGCACTACAGTGTTTAACTGGGGCGTATGTGAAAATTAGGCCCTTTTTATTACTTTTTTAAAATTTTGATGTGGTTTCCAATTTACTTGGCATCAAGTTTATCATCATCATCTGGCTGCATAGCTCATTGAGCAGGAGCATCTAGCTGCAGAGGATGGTTTGGGAGTTTGGTTCCCCACTGTGCTTTCTGGGAGAACAGCCAGCTTCGATGCTCTTGGGCAAGCTAAACAGTCTCAGAAATGCCCCCACCAGAGAAGAATGGTAAAACGCTTTATACCTAGAAAATCCTGAGAAAGATTGCTATAAGGTGGAATTGCCTTAATTATTATAATCGATCATCATCACCACTTCTAATTTATTTATCATCATGTCTCTGTTGGTTGTACACCACACATAATGATGGGGAGACATTGATTGCTCTACTGTTCCAGCCATCACTTGTCTTTCTGCTGTTTCAGAAATAAGATTCAGCTCATCAGAGAATTGGGTAGCCATCAATACTATGATAATTAGTGATCGGAAGAGGAAAACAAGATGTTAATATAAAAACGTGCCTTGATTTATTGAGAAGAGTTGAGACGTATTTGGTGGAACACATGTTCCGCATGCGAAGAGTCCTGACTTCAGTCTCCTGACATCTTTAAGAAGGACCGGGAAGACCCCAAATAGGTATCACCTTCAGATGTCTTAGACTATGATTCCCATCATTCATCAGTAAATGTTGTGAAGTGTTGAGAGTTACAAGCCAACCTTGTAAGGTGTGTGATTTCGGAAATGTACCAGGCAAAACAAAAGAAAAAAAAAGTAAAATACAGCAGCTAGTGTCACCTTAAACACTAGCTGCTGTATTTTAATGTGAGCTTTTCTTGATAAGTCCACTACCTTGAACATGTGTGGGACTACATGGCACAGTATTTGAGACAAGTTGTTGACCTGGCAATAACCTTTAAGGCCCCTGTTGATATTCAGTTCTCCTCCCAGGTAGCAGTGTTCTGTAAACATTGAGAATGAGGGGATAGATACATTAATCCCAGGCTACAAAGAGCTGGAACAACATAATAAGGAGTATCTCTAATAACCAGAGGGGCTTGTGAGATGGCACTTGTTAGTAAGGAAATATAGCTGGGAATACAGCAGATACAACACAATATTTTATATCTGATAATGGCCTAAGAAACCTTGGCTTATATTGAGTCAATTGAGATGAGTTTTAAACATATGTATATATTTTCTCATCAGTCTCTCTCTCACTTGATAATTCTTTCCCAAGTGCTGGTTCCAGCTATTTTATCTCCAGTGGTAATCAATACAAAACACTCTGCTTAACTCCAGCCCTGGCAGTAAGTTCCACTGAAAACATAGAGGATTATGCTGCCAAAACAGGCTGGGAGTGGTGGTTTGTGGTTCCAAAGCCTACATGGCTAGAATGCTTTTCTCATTCACATTGCAAAACCATCTTTTCTGACTTCTACAAATCTCTCTTTTCATCATGGGGTGGGGGAGAGAGGGAGGGAGGTGTGAAACCCCCTTGCACCAGTGCTTTCTATTTACATGACAAGGCATTCGGATAAAGAGTTGAGAAAAGTTCAAATCCCCGAGATAAACTACATGTGTGAAAATGTCACTATCTGGTTAACCAGAAGAAATCATGCAGGGATGGCAGTTTAGCAAGAAGATCAGGACATCTATTGATCTGACAAATAACAGTTACTAGCACCTCTTGCTGGGAAGCCACATGACTGAGCAAAGTTGTGATGGAAAAGCAGCCAAGATAACAGAGAAACCGGGTAATTGCACATGGATACACAGTTCTCCTGATACTGGAAGTTAACTGACTTTCCATAATAAAACGATGGAATTGAGCAACAGACATGTACGCATAGGACTCAGAACTAAATGTTGCTGCGTGAAGTGCCCTTGACCACTGTTCTAGTCAATCAGCCATGCTCTTCTCTATGTGACTCCCTTCCATTTGCCCTCTCCCACCTTGCTCAATTCTTCTCCACAAGCATTTGTCAGGATTCCACATCTCTGGAGTACTGTCCAATCTCTCTTGGGGGTTCTTGTGTGGCACCACCTCTGTCGCCATCTTTCTCTGTCATCCTCCCTCTTGCATTTCTACACACCTCAGCTCTACTGGTACCTTATCTACATGGATGGTGTCATTTTACACAAGACAGGCACGGACACCTGAACACAGGAACTAGAGGGAATTATCAGGAGAGTCCAGTTCAATGAGCTCTGATTTATTTTTGTCCTTTGGAAGTACTGGTACAATGTGTAAGAATTCTGATGCTCTAGAGAACACCTATTTTTAGCAGGCCATAAATTAGGAATCTCTAGTCCACCAGTACCTGTCCACACACACAGAACGTCCTTCCACAGTCCCAAACCATAACATACTGAGTGGGCATTTTTAAGACCATGAATATGAATTTACAGTGACAAGGAGTGAGAAACTGTTTCACAGTGGAAGCTCATTCGTCACACTACAATAAAAAAGGTTTTCCCAATATTTCCAGCAACATAAAAAGGCTTGCCAATATTGCAAAATAAACTCTGGGATAACAACTTAGTAATGCAGACTGTTTTGACCAACTGGAATGCTAAAGCTATTTCATGGTAAATTTGAAATCGCTGTGATGGGGCCACTCAGTGGAGCAGAAAATGAAGTCTAGGATGAGATTAAGAACATAAAGGGTGCTTGCTGAATCAGGACATTGTTGATCTAGCTTAGCATCCTGTCTCCAGCATTGTCCACTCAGATGCTTCTGGGAGGTTTCCAAGCAGGGCATGAAGTCATTAGTCAACAGCTCTTCCCTATCCATAGAACCATAGAATAATGAAGTTGGAAGGGGCCTATAAGGCCATCTAGTCTAACCTCCTGCTCAATGCAGGAATACAAATCAAAGCAGATCTGACAGATGGTTGCCCAATTTTCTCTTGAATGCCTCCAATGTCAGAGCACTCACCACCTCCCATGGTAAGTGGTTCCATCGTTGTACTGCTCTAACAGTTAGGATATGCAGTTGAAAGCTGGCTTTCTATAACTTGAGCTCTTTATTATGTGAGGATTCAGCGACTCTTCTTGGCTGAATTTCATTTCTCTCGTGTTCTCCTGTGGGATCCCCTGTATGTCTTCTTCTGCATGCTGTCTGCCAAACTCCTCAAGAATTTTAAATGTGGTCTTGCAATTCCACTGGCGAAGAGTGTCATCTCCTTCTTTTGCTCCTAAATGTGATGCTTTCCCATGCTTCTTCTTCAATTACATTGATCCTCTCCCCAACATTCTCCTCCTCTGCTTTGTCCTGCTGTTCTTCCACCTCCAGTATCTCCCTTGGCTGCGGCTGCTGCTCAAGAGTTCTATCTATATAGTCTTCATCTTCGCTTACAGTTTTAAATGTGGCCACTCGCTGCTCTGGTTCTCTCACTTTCCTTTCCAACCGTGCATCCATTTCCCACTTGCTACATGTGCATTTGCTATGTTAATCTCCGGCACAAAAACAAATACTGTGCACACTTTGCAGGGCATTATCACGGTAGTGTCTCTTCCTTCCATGATCCTTGTTTACTTTTACTTTCTTCTGTTTGCCTACGAGTGTCCTTTGCTTGGTCTTGCCTGCCTTGAAGGATGCTGAGAAACTCCCCTAATACATAACGTTTCTGCCTTTGTCTCCTTGATCTCGGTTTGGTTTTATCTCTTCCTACACTAGACACTTATGCTTACTCCTCCTCCACCACCATCAGACTCCTGATTGTTCTGGGGTCAATCTCAGTTTTATTCCTTTGCTGTGTTCTGCTGGGAGTCCAGCTCTAGCATCTGGCAGCCAGATAGAAGATATTTATAGGCTACTATATTTTAAAAAAGAAAATAAAAAATGTTCTATGATGGTTAAATTGTTCCCAATATGAGCACATGAGAATGGCTCTTTTGCACATGCGCAGCCTGATGCTACATTTGCTTATTCCAGAAAGGGGCTTGGAAAATTTACGTTTATGGAATACAACTCCTATCATCCTGCAGCCAGTATTCTAACAATAGCACTCTTCATTAGCTAGGGAATGCTGTGAACTGTGTTCTACAAAAGTATAAAAGTAACTTCTTCAAGCTCTGCTCCAGAATTGAGATTAACAGGAACAACTGTGGGTGTAATGAAATATCTAAAGAGGTTAAGTCCATCTTGGAGGATTATAGGGAATTCAATGGGATTGCAGCTAAAGATGCCTTGCTCATCACCTTCCTCAAGGTTCTGTTTCTAAGCAAGCCTACAGCCATCTATTAGCTGTTCATGAATTTGGAATTCCAATTCCACAATTACCTTCAATCAGACCCACCAATTACATTAATGCCTGGTTACTGTGCTGTTGTGCAGCATCATAAAAGCAAAGAGCACGGACAAAGTGAAGGCAAGCCCAGGAAACAGGCAAAAGATCATCTCACCCATTCTGAACTGTGAAGAGTGCTATTTTTAGAATTGCATTTTAAAAATGCTTCCATTTTCAATCTCTCTTGTTCATTATTCCTGCCTTCAACAGATTCTCTTTCTGTGAAATACACAGATAGCTCACTTTTTTGTGGAAAGCACTGGTTTACAGGAGCAATCACCCTTTAAGGCAACTGCCTGTTCGCTCCTCTTAGAGTTTTACCTTCTAAGCTATGCAAATCCCAGGGGGGACATTGGTAGGCTTTGGCAGATATATGGATGGATATTGTACCTGAAAAACAATTTCAGTATAGCTTTTGAAGAGGCCTTGTTCTGGTTCGTGCAAGATAGAAATGTATTCCATGTAGCTCAGAGCTCTTTTTTCTGTTCAGAAAACAATAGGGCAACAACATATCTAGTAGAGCTACTACAAAATGATGCTCCAGGTAAGACTTTGATAGGATGTCATCTTGTGCAAGAAAACTGCAGATGCTTCACATGCTTTCATCGCCTTGTGCAAAAAGAGGTGAGAAACCCCATGGGGATCTCTTTAGACATCAGTGCAAAACAAGTTTTTTTCCTTATACTGTATACTGGCTAAGGACAAGACATCGTGAAATATAAATCCTTACATCAGACATGCGAACAAAACCATAGTATCTCTCACTTGCCTCAATTCACAAACATAAAACACAAGGAAGTTCATTTGTGAAACGTGAACAAAGGAAAGTTCCTCTCAGAATAAACAGAAAGACTTCCCCTCTCAAGGGTACACTGTTTCCAGATACAGAATTAGTACCTCATCTAACGAGACACTTCAGATCTAATTCTATTTCATCAGCAAACTGTTCTGTAGATGAAATGTTACAGTGTTATGTTTGTATAAATGAAATATTCTGGCTGTTTTTATACTAGTGATATATGACAGCAGTCTTGTGCTTAAATTCATTTCGGGTTTTATATTGCTCTTTTTGCACTGAACACATATTGGGAAAGCAGCATATAAATTAAAACTGATGGTGTAATTTCTCCCTGCAGATCAGGAATTTATGATCCTGTGAACCTCTAAATATTTTTTGTCCCTTGGGCCCTTCCTTACATTAACAGCCAGCCTGGTCAATTTTTAGATATGATCAACATCTAGATGGGTGACGTAGGTGTACTAACCAGGTAACTATATTGGATCACTTTAAATATTAACTTCTTAACTTCAAAGGTAGATGGATTCCTTTCATTATAGCAAGAGTCTTTCATCCAAGTACTGGAATTCTCTCTAACCTCTGACTACAGACTGCATATTCTTTATAAATGAAGGGGTAGTCTGGAAGCAATCCTGATTATTGCCCAGATGGTACCTCAAATGGCCCTAAAACTGGATCACAGGAAGATGAAACCTGCACCTTTTCAATTTCACTGTAACTGACTGAATAACCCCTTTTTCCTATTAGATTATATAACGTCTTTTCATCTCTATTACAGCTAAACTAAAGGACTGTTTGGGAATGTACCAAGTGTATAATCAGTTGTCATTTACTCGGGAAACAAAGAGAAGATATGCTTGATCAGATGTTCCTATTCATGTTTTCGCTCCATGTCCCATGGAGCACCCATGAACTACAGACCAGAGCCTGTTTTTTAAGACAGTAGTTTTGGTAGAATCACAGTTCTGGCCAAATGGAAGGGACTACAAACAGACCACTCAACCATGCTGCCCTTTGACCCAGGGTGGGTGGGGTCTCAGGGGGCCAATGTGTTGAGGCTAAGGGAAATCTTCCTACCTAGTTACACGTCTGACTCTCCTGTCAGAGTCCTGAAAGAGTAAGGGAAAGGTCTCCTAGTTGTCTCTGTTGAGGCTTCGCACCAACCAGATGAAGCAGACAACAAGATGCCCACAAAAATTAAACTGTGCCACTTTGGGTGAGGCACCTTTTCCATCACACCATCCACAAACTACAATTGGACAAAACACGAAGAAAAAGGTTCATTTTAGGAATGCATTTTTTAAAAAAAAGCAAAAGCATTTTCACAAACAAAGGTTCAGTAATATGTCACAGGTGGCCAAAACAAAAGAAGCAGCAGAAACATACTCACTAAGCAAAATGTAAAAAGCATTTTAGTCATGATAACATTTAAGAACATATGGAGTAAAACTCCCCAGTAAAATAAAAACAACTCACTAAGATACTTTTAATACTCACAAACATGAATCTCATCCCTAAGTTATGACACAGCAGAAGAACCTGGTTTCATGAGAGAAGGTCTGGTATAGTCTTTCTCTTTGTGTCTTCTTGCCATCCTTGTATCCCATTATCACCCTAATGTTCACCAATCACAAGACTAGAAACACAAAACATTCTGGATGGTAACTCCATCTTTTAAAAGTAACTTTTCCTATCAAATTCGCCCCTCCCAGCTCCTCAGATGATTTCACTTCATTAATTGACTATGGTGGGGAGGAACAAACTGTGTCCTTGAACACAACCTGGTGGGTTTCCATTCTTTCTCCCAGACAGTAGGGCACACCTGAGGAGATGTTTCTTCAGTTAGTTGATCTCCTTGCTTAAATGGTGACTATTAACCCTTAGCTATCAGACACCCTCACAGCCCACAAAGTTCTCATAGCTTGACAAGTAGTATCACAGGCCAATGTAACAGGAAGGCAGTGTGTCTTGATCTTTGCTGATTTATTCTTTTCTCCTGTCTTCATCACATACTGAGACGAGCTAGAAAGAACAAGACAGGGGACTGGCATAAGCAGCAATTCAGAGAGGCTTGGGGCTTTCCCAGATGAAAACAAACAAAAAGAAACTGGAATCTTCCAATACATCAAATTGTGAAAGAGAGGTCAAAGTCTCAGGGTTTACAAAATAGATGTAGATTTACTGCAGTTTAAAACCTGCCCAATGCATTTCAGCCCAAAGAATTTATGGCATTTTCAGGGACAACAATTTCTAGTGTATATTGAATATACAATCTGTTTCAAAGCACAACAAACCAGGTTCTGCACTGCCATTATTGGTATTTTTCACACCATTCACATTATGTGGTTGTTATCTTGTTCTGTACAATCCCTTTTTGGTTTTCATGACTTTGTTTCATTTTGTTCCTTCTGAAAAACAAGGATGTGGATGTGGTAGAATTTTTGTGCTTTCCATTTGTAGTGTAAAAGGGGGCTCAGAGGGCAGGGAAGCAATAGCAGAGGAATATATTTCTCAGAGAGGAGAGCAGTGGATTGAAAAAAAGGTTTGGATGCAAATCCCAGTAAATCCTGGACCTTTTCAGCACCAAATGACATAAGGGGAGATGGAACAAAAGCACTTGGGGGGAAAACTCTTGGGAACTGGAAGGCTAAACTGGTTATGCTCTATCAAAATGAATCATACAGTGTAATTCTATGTAGGAATTTGTGGCCTTCCAGATGTTGTTGGACTACAACTTCCATTTTCCCTCAACAATTGCTATGGTGGCTAAGGTTGATGGCATCACTATGTCAGAGCCTGTATACATTCCTCAAAAAAAAACCCCACAATATGTAGCATTTTAATTTTAACCTACTGAAGTCACATGGTTTTTAGTCATTTCCTGCATTCCTACTGAGTAATTGAAATGCTCTCATTTAAAACTGGCTGTAACAATCACATGAGCCTAACTTCGTTAAGAAAACAGTGTGCTGATATAAACAGCCTTCTCATGGCCCTTTATTTAACTTGCCCCCTAAGAAAATAATCACAGATGAAATTAAATATGCACTTTGGAATTCATAGTGTGAATGTGAAACTCAATACAGTTTTTAGCACAGGTCAATTCCCAAGTTGTTTTTTTTTTTTTTTTTTTTTGTGAAACTCAATACAGTTTTTAACACAGGTCAATGCCCAAGTTTTTTTTTTTTTTGGACTGTTTAACTAGAGAATTAGTAACTGGAGAATTAGTGCAGGGAAAGCACCCCAGAGGGAGACCACAGCTGCAGTACAAGGATATCTGCAAGCGGGATCTGAAGGCCTTAGGAATGGACCTCAACAGATGGGAAACCTTGACATCTGAGCATTCAGCCTGGAGGCAAGCAGTGCAGCATGGCCTCTCCCAATTTGAAGAGACACTTGTCCAGCAGGCCGAGGCAAAGAGGCAGTCCCGAAACCAGCAAAATCAGGGAGCTGGACAGGGGACAGATTGTATTTGTCTTCAGTGTGGAAGGGATTGTCACTCTCGAATTGGCCTCAGCCACACTAGATGCTGTTCCAAGACCTATATTCAGAGCACGTTACCGTAGTCTCTCGATACTGAAGGATGCCTACAACTAGGCCTTAGTGAGATTTCTGGGTGACTGTGTAGAAAACCTGAATCTTCCTTAGGTCTGGGCATTGGGGTGCATTTTTTCCTTCTGCAGCTGAAGATGATGTAAACTAGGTATCTTCACAAGGAGTAAAAGGGAACAGACTGCAGTTTTTCTTCCAGCTGGAAGTTAGAGAGAGAGAGATCAATAGCTCAGTTTGGGTTCTATAAACATAGGGTGCAGTAGCTTCTCACTGAAGATCTAATCTGGTATTGGATTTTACTGATTATGTTTGTAGTTAAACTCAAAAATTACCAAAAGCCATAAGCCTCCACCGACTTCCTTTCCTCTCCTCACTCAGGAAAGTAGAGAGAACATGACACAGCTTCAGCACTTGGATGGTACTGAAGGGGTTCAGTCACAAAGGCAGCCTTGCTGCCTTTGGAATATGTTTCTTCTAAATATAGCAGCTGAGAGGAGCAAAGTGAATCTCAGTGATACAGACCTGGCCAAAAGACTTATGATGAGGGAATTATGTGGTAAACAAAACAGCTCAGAGTGGGGGGGGGGTGAGGAGAGCTGATCTGTGTGTTCAGAATCCTGATTGTCATCAAGGAAGGAAGGTAGGAAATGAATTTAATAAATGAAAAAACTTGGGGAGAGCTGATTTGTGTGTTCAGAATCCTGATTGCCATCACAGAAGGAAGCTAGGAAATGAATTTAATAAATGAAAAAACTACACATTGTCAGGGAAAAGCATGCACTCTGCACACTGCCCTTAATTATGTTGGGTCTCTATTAGCTTGGGAGCAAAACACAACAGTTGTTTCTATCAGGCTGTAGCAGCTGGGCAGCTGGGGATTGGAAATACTCCATATTCTCTCTCTCTCTCTCTCTCTCCTGGAAATACTCCATATTTTCTCTCTCTCTCTCTCTGGATCCTCCTCACCCTGAATGGCTGTAATGGGGGGGGGTGCCCCATTTTGTTTGTTTTCATCTTCCCTCCTCATCTACCTTGTCTTTTATGTTGAGTCCTGCAGATTGTTAGTCAGAGGGCAGGGCCTGTCTTGTCTTGTAGGGAGAAGCACACTGCTTGACTGACTGCTTAACCAAAACTTTTGAGGGAGCAGAATTCATCAGCAGATTCGTGTCCAGAGGCTTCTGTGGCTTGAGGGTGGGACCAGCAGATTCTTCTGGGTGTTTAAAGAGTCAGGCCTGAATAGGCAACCTGGTCCAATAGTTTGCTGTCTTCCATTTCCTATAAGCCCTGCCCACACCCAGTTGCCTAAGGATGAATATTTATTATTTTTTTTTAAAGGGTAACATCTTACTCAGGTTATACATGGAAGCTTATGAAGGCATGGAGGAGAATTCTGAAGAAGGAAAGCAGAACAAAGCTACCATACATCGCTTTCTGCTGTGTCCCCAAAAGTGTATATCTCCAGCATCAGATTGTTTTCTGTGTACAGTAATGTCCCCCATACTGACAAACAGATAAAGAAGCAAGTACAATTTATTATTTCCAGGAGACGCTGGACCTCCTAAATTAGCCTAGGTAGTAGAGGGTCTGTTTTTCTTTGGAAGGGGGGTTTGCATGCAAGTGTTTACAACCCAGCCTCTAGATCTGTTCTGCATCTCATCCACACTCACAGTGTGAATTCTTGGGGAATTATTATGAAGCATGCTGTGAATGCAAATTAAGCATAGCACATAGCACTCCAGCAGTTCCTAACAGGCCAGCGGCATGATGTTGTTCAACTCCCAATGGGCAATTAATTCTAATACTATTGCTCGGAGTGCAAGCCAACATAATAAAAACAGCTCAGAAACAAGCCAACTCAACTTATACTTACCCAATCCTTTTCAATCTGCCCGTTATTTTATAGGCAGCAGACTTGCACCTAGATCACAACTTGCACACAGTTGGAAAAAAGTAGCCCAAGTACCTTTGCTGGTGGGGGATACACTAGATTATAGCCAATACGTCACATCAGTTATCTGAAATCAAGCAGTATGTAGGCTGTAACATCCTCCTGCAGAGAGAGTTGGAATGTAATCATCAGCTAGGCTTGTGACAAAATAAATTTTGGTTATTAGATTTTAGAGTATAATAAATACATAAACATACACCACATGTTCAACATGTTGATCATTCATTGCAACTATATTCATGCTGTCCAAATTAGAAAGCAACATACTCTGTCACACATAATCTCTAGCAAAGCTAAGGAACTAGAGATGGGCACCAACCCCTGGTTTGGTGGTTCATGCCAGTCTGGATGACGTCCCAAAGGGTGTTCTGTGATTTTTGAACTCGGCCCCTCCAGTGGGTAGCCACTCAGAGGCAGAGCCCAGAGGAGACGAGGCAGGGAAACTGGGGTGCTGCCTCCATGTGGGTGCTCGCTGGAGGGGGCAGGGTGCCAAACTGCAGAACACCCGTTGGGCCATCATCTGAACCAGCGCAAACCAGGGATGGGATATTTGTGGCCCTCTACATATTGTTGGACATCACTTCCCGTCATCCTGCACTATTGCCCACATTGGCTGGGGCTGATGGGATTACCCATGAGCAGGTAGACCACGTAGCCATGTTGACTGGGAGCTTCTAGCACTGAAAGTTGATAAAGGATCATAGCCATGTTGATTGTGCTTCTAGCACTGAAAGTTGATAAAGGATCTTTGCCGATGTATTCGCGAAGGCTTTCACGGCTGGTCCGATGTATTCGTGAAGGCTTTCACAGCCGGGATCTAATGGTTGTTGTGGGTTTTTCGGGCTCTTTGGCCGTGTTCTGAAGGTTGCTCTTCCTAATGTTTCGCCAGTCTCTGTGGCCGGCATCTTCAGAGGACAGCACTCTGTGCTCTGGTGTAGTTGGCTTGGGAGTGCAGTATCTTTTCCGAGTTTTGCTCTTTGGCTTGAACAGTTACATTGTCGTGGTGGCAGCGGTGGTGTGCTGCCAAGTTACCTTCAACTTATGGCACCTCTATGAATGAGCGATCTCCAAAATGGCCTGGCGGTGGTGTGCTGCCAAGTTACCTTCGACTTATGGCACCTCTATGAATGAGCAATCTCCAAAATATCCTGTCCCCAACTGCCCTGCTCAGCTGTTGAGGTTCCTTTAGGGGGTCAGTCCATCTTGTATTTGGTCTTTTCCTGTTGCCTTCCATCTTTCCCAGCATTGACTTCAACATTGTCCTAATAACTGTATTAGCCATTTGTAGCTGGGCTCACCATGTACTGTAAGGATGACTGTTCTCTCTCTTGTTGATCACAGAAGCAACTTGTTAAGAATGAGCTGCTAAGCCACCCAGTCTGTTTGCCCCAGATATTTGCAAACCTATGCTCCAGAAAATTGCACCTTCACAGAGTACTGCAAAAGCCGCCCTCATGCCTCAGTTGCAGTTTTCTAGCAGTTGCTGGCCCCCAACTATGATTTATGGGTACCAGGCATTATCTACTTTAGAACATGCTGCAGGATGAAAAAGGACTGTGATTATTGTTTGTACTAAGCTGTGAATTTGCAAGGTGATTTCAATAGATAAAGCCTGCTTGAAAAAAACAATGAAGGACATACCAAGAAACAGGCTTGCTCAAAGACAAGCAGGTGCACACCTCGGACCATAATGGCGCAGAGCTAGAACACATACTTTGCAGCTGGAAAACTTCTCCATTGTAACACTAGCTGGTCACTATATGTTTGAAAAGATCTGCACTTAAGTTTAAATCCTAATGTCTCAGCCTTTGCTCCTGCTGAGATCAGTCCAGCCTTCCCCAGCTAGGCAATTTCCAAATGTCTTGGATTACAATGCCCATCAAGTCCATGGGCCATGCTTGCTGAGGAAGGTGGGAGTTGTATTCCAACACACCTGGAAAGCTAGTCCAGACCCTATGGAACAACCAGGAACTTGTTCTTACTGTACCTATTTGACTAAATTTCAAGGACTTTGAGGTTCTTGACATTCTCCCTCTCTCTCTCATTTGAAACATTCACTACCATTTCTGTAACAAGCCTAGATCCTTAAAAGGATGAATGCTAAACAAAATACTGAAAGCTGTTTTGACACAGAGGACTTCTAGTTAAGAAGTTATCAATACATAAAATGATAAATAGCTATGGATCCATTTACTTCAGAACTGGAAGACATATCTTAAATGTGGAAATGTGTTCATATACAATATAGAAGTTCTAGAATACAGTCATCTTTGAATCTCTCCACCCCCTCCCCCGTATCATGAAAGGACCCCCTTCCTATGGGTATCTAGACTTATGGTGTGAATTTTGATGGCGGTTGCTTTAAATTCATTAAGATGAGTAAGGAAATTAGCAGCCATCCAATCAAGTTACTTGATCCAGAAAACAATGTGGATTTAAGACAATTTTGTTTAATGGACTAGGGTTATACTTTTCATTTCAGTTAACCTATGCTTGGTTGATTCACCTGTATTGGGTTAGGGATAAAGAACATTATTTTCTTTTATATCTGAAATGGACCCACTCTGCCCTTCAACAGCAATTTCTTGGCTGCCATGGGGCAAATTATTTCAGAGTCTGTCTCTCAGTCACAATATTTTATGATGCATATTGAGGGTTTTGAACATTTCTCCTAAAAAGTAATTAGTCACAGTTATGCTTAAAAGTTTTTTTTTAAAAAAAGAAGAGGGACAGTTACCAACATGATAGCTTCAGTTTTTAAAAAGATACCTTTCTTTGTCATTCCTTTTAAAATAAAGATAGAGATAGCTAACATCAGTTACAATTAAAACATGGATGTTATCTCTAATTCCTAGTTTTAATTAATTATCTAGTTAACACATGAGTAGAGATGAGGAAAATTGGGATTTTTTTAAATAAAAAACTTCCAGAACTGCACAGGGTAGGTTAGTATTTGAGAAATTGAAAGAGTCCTTCTGATCCCACATGAAGGCAGAGAAAAAGGAAACAAAGTTTTTTTAAGCCCCAAGGCAGTGTTGATGTCATAATCCATGTAGGGGAAAAAATTGAAAGCTTCCTATCTATACCCCTCCATGGGGACCTGGAGGAAGCTTTCAATTTCCCTTGATTATGAAGTGGCTTAAGCAAAACACAGAGGACAGGAAGGGACAAGAAGGGGTTGTTTAATTTATTTATTTATTTAGGCCTTTTCCCTTTTAAAGGGCCAAATAGGGCTGCTTGATAAACTTTGTACTCAGTTTAACAATGACCTGTTGGATAAAAAGATTATCCCAAATGACATACTGTGCATCACAGTAACCCTGTTTAGCATGATCCAGGCTGGGATAATTTGACTATCTAGTAACACCCTGTGTCTGGTTGAAATCAGTAGGGCTTACTCCTGGGAAACTAGATACTGTATAAGTTTGTGGATTTAGCAAAGAAACTCTTGAGAAAGTCACAGATGAACAGGTCACTTTTAAACTCAGCCCAGAGTTTCCCAAGATTTAGAATAAAATTAGCTTTGATTTAATACCATGGTTATCTAATATATAGATGTGAAAACACACATGTGGAATGAGTCTGGAAAGTGTATACAGAACCATAATCCTACTTATGTATGAATGCAAGAATGTACATTTAAGTCAGAAGGTGCAGATTTTATGATTTAGATACATACTCCCCACTCTGAAGAGACAATCCTCAAGTTAACTACTCTGCATACCACTTAAATATTGATTATACATCAAATTATTTCCGTATTACTGCAGATCAGATTGCACTCGCAGTTTGAGTACACTGGAACTCCGACCATCCCTCATTATTGGCTATACTGGCTGATGGGAACTGCAGTGAAAAACATCTGGAGGGCTGCACATTCTCCACTCCTGATCTATACTAAAAGTACAACAAAAATATAGGTGGGGTTTAGCCTATGTGAGCAGAAGATTATAAATCCTACAGAGTTTAATTGCCTGTATCTGATTAGACAGTCACATGGACTACTCTTCTGAATTAATGGGACTCAGATGTTAACCTACTGTGCAATTTATAATTTCCAATGCTTGACAATTGCTTTAGTAATAAAAATGCATCACTTTTAGGCTCTGTGTTGTATAGGAATGTGTGCAGAATGAAGCTCTGATGTATCAAATAAGACCTAGAAGTCTCTGAATAAGACAGAAAAACTAGGCATGATAGCCTGCCCACTTGATTACCCTGACTTTACCCCAGAATTTGGATTTCAAAAGGAACTTTACTCATTTTTTCTCAGCAGTCAAGTTGCCATTACTATTGTAACAATCAGATATGTAGTTCATTTTGTTTCTTGTTATTAATGTGTACATAATGTCAACAAGACAGAAGAGTTCAGAGAAGTAATCTCTGGTTCCCTCTAGTGACCACTTCTGATATTGTACCTTGGAAATACTTAGAATAAACAAGTGAAAACAAAACTAAACACAATAGCAGAAAATTCAAAATTTTCCTACCGAACTCCTCAAATGAAAAAAAATTCCATGAAAGTGACTTGTGGAAACAACTAATTGTTACTTATTATTCCAGAGTAACGTAGGTATTTCTCATTACTCCTAAAATATATAATTCATAGTTACATTACTTAATTGCCAGAAACAACAAAGTAATTCTATGGAATTAGCTACTCCCAGGTTCTGTTTATTCATAGAGAAGCAGTGCCACCATCTAGTGAACCATGGAGTGGAAGAATTCTACAAAATTTCAAATAGAACAGACATTGGAATCTTTCTTACTACTAAGACAAACGGTCTTCTAAGTCTTGCTTAGACAGAATTTAGGACTATTAACAAACAGAAAAGTAAGTGAAGCTAAACTAAAGCAATTGGTTTGCCCATCAGCAGCCGTGTCAAAAATACCAACTCATAAGCCAGAATGCTGTTGGGATTTTATTTCAGAGTAAGTGAAATTGTGTAAGTTGTGGTGATAAAATCAAGAAGGAATTGGTGGTGTGCCTGGTTGCATGTCTACCTGCACGTCTGGTATGCAACCAGGCAGCCAACGAGCTTCTTGCTAATTAGCTGCAATTTGCTGCCATGAGTTTCATAATTTTGCTTGGTGTGGAACAAG